TGCGTCGTGACGGTCTCTCGGTGTCTGAATATCTCCGAGCACTCAAGTCTGTGGTAGATGAATTAGGGACAATAGATCGACCTCTCACTGATGATGATCTTACAATCTACATATTGAATGGATTGGGACCAGAATTTTGAGAGATAGCAGCCTCTCTTCGTACTCGTGATTCATCCCTCTCCTTTGATGATCTGCACGATCGACTGGTGGCTCATGAGGAAAGCCTTAGGCGAGAGGAACTCAAGGCTGATTCTTCCCCAATAACCGCACACTATGCTTCAATCCCGAAGTCTATGTCGTCTTCACAGGTTGGTCTTTTTCCTCTTGCCTCAAACAATCGTTACTCACCTTCAACTTCTTCACAGAATCGCAGAGGTGGAAACTCATATCAGCAGAGGCCCAACAACAGAAGGCGCGGTTCATTCTCCAGGCCCAATAACATTAGTCGACCCACTTGCCAGTTATGTAACCAGGCTGGTCACTTTGCCCGGAGTTGTCCCTATCATCGGATCCAGAATCTGAACCCCCAGGCCAACTATGCTTCTTCTGCGACAGCTGCTGATGATTGGCTCTTAGACTCAAGAGCAACTAATCATGTAACCACTGATTTGGCAAACCTTGCACTCCACTCTGAGTATCATGGTCCTGATGAACTCCAAATTGGTGATGGAACAGGTTTGAATATTACACAAGTGGGTCATACCACACTCTCTACTCCCTCTTACTCCCTTCCTTTAAAAGACATATTATGCGTTCCCCAAGCATCTCAAAACTTAATCTCTGTTTCTCAATTATGTAAAAGTGCTGATGTTTTTGTCGAATTTCACCCCACTTTCTTTTTGGTGAAGGATCGTCGCACGAGGGAGACACTGTTGCGAGGCAAAAACACTCATGGGGTCTATCACATCCCTGGTCAAGTTAAAGCACAACCTGCGGCCCTAGTTGGAGAACGTGTTAGTTTGGCAAATTGGCATTCGCGTTTAGGTCATCCTTCTACGAAGATCATTAAAACTATTGTTAAAAATTTCCATCTACCTATTTCTAATAATAAAATGAGTTCCCTTTTCTGTGATTCGTGTGCATGTTCCAAAAGTCACAAACTTCCATTTTCAAAGTCATCTATTACAAGCACGCATCCTTTAGAGCATGTCTACTCCGATGTTTTGGGTCCAGCCCCAATCACTTCTGTGGATGGATTCCAATACTTTGTTTTGTTTATTGATTTTTTTAGTCGCTACATATGGATTTTTCCACTCAAACAAAAATCTGATGTTTCTCTAATTTTTCCCAAATTTAAGACTCTGATGGAAAATCAATTTGGCCACAAAATTAAAAATTTTCATTCTGATGGTGGGGATGAATTTATTGCCTTGCGCGGTTTTCTCTCTCAACAAGGCATCTCTCATTTTATTTCTCCGCCTTACATTCCTGAATTAAATGGTATTAGTGAACGTCGTAACCGTCATATTGTAGAAACTGGTCTTGCCCTCTTGCACCATGCTTCCCTACCTTCCGCTTATTGGTCTCATGCTTTTCAAACTGCGGTGTATCTAATTAATAGATTACCCACTGCAGTGCTCTCTTCTTTGTCTCCCTTGGAGAAGCTTTTTAAAATTAAACCCAATTATTATAAGTTGCATGCCTTTGGGTGTTTGTGCTATCCTTGGTTTCGTCCTTATAACACAAACAAATTACAATTTCGATCTCGCCCTTGTGTCTTTCTTGGCTATTCAAATGAGACTTTGGGTTACAAATGTTTGGATTTACAATCTGGGAAACTATATACCTCCCGTCATGTTGTTTTTCAAGAGTCTACTTTCCCATTTAAAAATTCCACTTTCTTGTGTGATGCCTCTAATTCCTCACCGACTTTCCGTGACATGCCAATGATGCCAAACTCCACGAGTGCAGGTATGAGTGTTGAGCCTCCTCCATTGTTCCCTTGTGTACCGACTCACTCTCACCACCCATCTAAGTTCCATAATGTCCAACAAAGCCATGAGCAACCTCCAGCTTCTATTTACCCATTATCTACCCCTGTGGCCACTAGCACACCCTCTCCCCTTCCTTCCCCAGCCTCTCCCATTGCGACCAATTCCGTCCACCAATCCCCTGCCCCATCCGATTCCCACTCCTCCCCTCTTAGGTCCCCACCACTGCAACCTCTTCGGACTCACCCAATGGTCACTCGTTCCCAAAACAATATTTTCAAACCTAAGACACTCTTCCATGCAACCAAATCTCCATTGTCCCTCCCTGTTGAACCCACTTGTGTCACACAAGCTCTTAAGGATCCCAATTGGAGACAGGCTATGTCCGAGGAGTTTAGTGAATTGGTTCGCCAAGGAACGTGGGAACTGGTTCCTTCACACCCATCTCAACATGTTCTTGGTTGCAAATGGGTCTTTCGCTTGAAAAGAGGCAAAGATGGGTCCATTGAGCACTATAAGGCGCGTCTTGTTGCGAAGGGCTTTCATCAACGACCAGGTTCTGATTCCTTTAATACTTTCAGTCCTGTTATCAAGCCTACCACAATTCGTACTGTCTTATCTCTTGCAATGAGTAGGGGGTGGTCTATTCAGCAATTAGATGTTAATAATGCTTTCCTTTATGGACACATTGATGAGGTATTATACATGCAGCAACCGACAGGCTTTGTGGATCACAATTTTCCTTCACATGTTTGTAGGCTACGAAAATCTTTGTATGGCCTTAAGCAGGCCCCTAGGGCCTGGTTTCGAGCTCTTAAGGACTTCCTTTTGGCTCAAGGCTTCTTTCACTCTAAGTCTGACAATTCCTTATTTATCTATCATAAAGGCTCCACTTGGATCTATTTTTTGGTCTATGTCAACGATATCATTGTTACTGGGAATGATTCTGCTGCAGTTCAATCCATTGTGCAAGTCATGAGTGCCACTTTCTCCCTCAAAGATCTTGGTCCCTTGAGTTTTTTTCTCGACATAGAGGCAATCTCTACTAAGGATGGGCTTTTTCTCTCTCAACAGAGGTATATTCTTGATCTTCTTCAGAAAACTGGTATGGCTGATGCTAAACCTGTCTCCAGTCCTTTGGCTTCTACTTCTGTTCTGCAGCTATCCACTGGCACTCCTCTCTCTGATGGCACCAATTATAGGAAAATTGTTGGCTCTCTTCAGTAC